GTTGTGTTGTCTCAGCTCCATGTTACCTTTGCCTCCCAGGTTCAAGCAATTCTCTTGCCTCAGCCTCCTGAGTACCGGGATTACAGGTGCCCACCACCATGCCCAGCTAATTTTTGTATTTTTAGTAGAGATAGGATTTTTTTTGCCATGTTGGCCAGGCTGGTCTCAAACTCCTGACCTCAAGTGATCTGCCTGCCTCAGTCTCCCAAAATGCTGGGATTATATGTGTGAGCCACTGCACCCAGCCTTTTTACTTCATTGATCTTTTGTATTGTCTTCTTCATTTCAATTTCATTTCTTCCTGTTCTGATCTTTATTATTTCCTTTCTTGTACTAACTTTGGCTTTTGTTTGCTCTTGCTTTTCTTTAAGATGCATCACTAGGTTATTTATTTGAAGGTCGGCCTTCCTTCCTTCCTTCCTTCTTTTTCTTTCTTTCAGACAGAGTCTTGCTCTGTTGCCCAGGCTGGAGTGCAGTGGCATGATCTCGGCTCACTGCAGTTGCTGCCTCCCAGGCTCAAGCGATTCTTGTGTCTCAGCCTCCCAGGTAGCTGGGATTACAGGTGGCCACCACCATGCCTGGCGTTTTTTTGTATTTTTAGTAGCAATGGGGTTTTACTGTGTTGGTCAAGCTGGTCTTGAACTCCTGACCTCAAGTGATCCATCTGCTTTGGCCTCCCAATGTTCTGGGATTATAGGCATGAGCCACTGCACCCAGCTTGAAGTTTTTCTTCTTAATGAAGGCATTTATAACTATAAACTTCCCACTTGGTATTGCTTTTGCTGTATCCTATAGGTTTTGGTATGTTGTATTTCCACTATAATTTCTTTCAAGATATTTTTCAATTTCCTTCTTAATCCCTTCATTGATCCACTGGTCATTCAGAAGCATGTTGTTTATGTGTTTGTCTAGTTTCCAGAATTCCTCTTGTTACTGATTTCTAGTTTTATTCCCTTGTGGTCAGAGAAGATACTTGACATTACTTCAATTTCTTTGACTGCTTTAAGTCTTGTTTTGTGGCCTAACATGTGTTCTATCCTTGAGAATGATCCATGTGCTGAGGAGAAGAATGTATTCTGAAGCTGTTGGATTAAATTCTCTGTAAATATCTGTTAGGTCCATTTGGTAGTGCAGATTAAGTGTGATGTTTCTTTGTTGATTTTCTGTTCAGATGATCTGTCCAATGCTGAAAGTGGGGTGTTGAAGTCTCCAACTGTTGTTTTTTCATTTTTTATTTATTTTTATTTTTTGAAACGGAGTTTTGCTCTTGTTGCCCAGACTGGAGTGCAATGGTGTGATCTTGGCTCACTGCAACCTCTGCCTCCTGAGTTTAAGCGATTCTCCTGCCTCAGCCTCCCAAGTGGCTAGGATTACAGACATGTGCTACCGCGCCCAGATAATTTTGTATTTTTAGTAGAGATGGGTTTTCACCCTGTTGGTCAGGCTGGTCTCAAACTCCTGACCTCAGGTGAGTTGCCCACCTTGGCCTCCCAAAGTGCTGGGATTACAGGTGTGAGCCACCATGCCTGGCCTCCAGCTGTTATTGTATTGCAATCTATCACTCTCCTTAGCACTAATAATATTTGGTTTATATATCTGGATGCTGCAGCGTTGGGTACATATATATTTACAATTGCTATATCCTCTTGCTGAGTTGACCCCTTTATCATTATATAGTGATGTTGTCTATTTTTATAGTTTTTGTCTTGAAATCCATCTTATCTAAGTATCACTACTCCTGCTCTTTTTTTTGGTTCCATGCATATCTGTTTCTATCCTTTTATTTTCAGTCTATGTGTGTCTTTATAGGTGAAGAGTGTTTCATGTAAGCAACAGATCATTGGGTCTTGTTTTTTAATCCATTAAACCACTCTATGTCTTTTGATTGGAGTGTTTAGTCTATTTACATTCAATGTTATTATTGATAAGTAAGGACTTACTCCTGCCATTTTGTTGTGTCCTGGTTGTTTTTGGTTTTCTTTTCCTTCTTTCCTTCCTTCCTGTCTCCCCATGGTGCCTGGTCCCCTACATCCTTTTTTGGAGACAGTCTTGCTCTGTTTCCCAGACTGGAGTGCAGTGGTGCAGTCATGGCTCACTGCAGTCTTGACCTCTTGGGCTCAAGTGACCCTCTGTCTCAACCACCTGAGCAGCTGGGACTACAGGTGTATGATATCACATCTGACTAATTTTTTAATTTTTCTGTAGAGATGGGCTCTTGCTTTGTTGCCCAGGCTGGTCTTGAACTCTTGGGCTCAGGTGATCCTCCCACTTTGGCCTCCAAAAGTGCTGGAATTACAGGCATGAGCCAACACACCCAGCCCTGTCTTCCTTTTATTACCAGTGAGTTTTGTGCCTTCAGATGATTTCTTATTGCTCATTACTATTCTTTTCTTCAACAAAAGGGATTGATGAATTCTCTTTAGCATTTCTTGTAGGACTGGTCTGATGTTGATGAAATTCCTCAGCTTTTGTTTGTCTGGGAAAGTCTTTATTTCTCCTTCGTGTTTGAAGGATTTTTTCACCAGATTTTACTATTCTGGGGTAAAAGATTTTTTGTTTTTGTTTGTTTGGTTTTTTTTTCCTTCTGTACTTTAAATATATCATGCCACTCTCTCCTGGCCTGTAAGGTTTCCACTGAAAAGTCTGCTGCCAGACATGTTGGAGATTCATTGCATGTTGTTTGTTTTCTTTCATCTTGCTGTTTTTAGGATCATTTCTTTATCCTTGACTTTTGGGAGTTTGATTATTAAATGCCTTGAGGTAGTCTACTTTGGGTTAAATCTGCTTCATGTTCTATAACCTTCTTGTACTTTAATATTGATATCTTTCTCTAGGTTTGGGAATTTCTCTGTTGTTATCCCTTTGAATAAGCTTTCTACCCCCATCTCTCTCTCTACCTTCTCTTTAAGGACAATAACTCTGACATTTGCCCTTTTGAGGCTACTTTCTAGATAATTTAGGCATACTTCATTCTGTTTTATTCTTTTTTCTTTTGTGTCCTCTGACTGTATTTTCAAATAGCTTGTATTCAAGCTCACGAATTCTTTCTTCTGTTTGATCAGTTCTGCTATTAAGAGACTCTGATACCTTCTTCAGTCAGTCAGCTCTATTTTTCAACTCCAGAATTTCTGCTTCTTTTTAATTATTTCAACTTCTCTGTTAAATTTGTCTGATAGGATTCTGAATTCATTTTCTGTGTTATATTGAATTTCTTTGAGTTTTCTAAAAAACGGCTATTTTGAATTATCTGTCTAAAAGCTTACATATCCCTGTCTTTCCAGGATCGGTCATTTTTTTTTTTTTTTTTTTTTGAGATGGAGTCTTGCTCTGTCGCCCGGGCTGGAGTGCAGTGGCCGGATCTCAGCTCACTGCAAGCTCCGCCTCCCGGGTTTACGCCATTCTCCTGCCTCAGCCTCCCGAGTAGCTGGGACTACAGGCGCCCGCCACTTCGCCCGGCTAGTTTTTTGTGTTTTTAGTAGAGATGGGGTTTCACCGTGTTAGCCAGGATGGTCTCGATCTCCTGACCTCGTGATCCGCCCATCTCGGCCTCCCAAAGTGCTGGGATTACAGGCTTGAGCCACCGCGCCCGGCCAATCGGTCATTTTTTAGTTTGTTTAGTGAGGTCATGTTTTCCTGGATGGTCTTGATGCTTATGGATGTTCATCAGTGTCTAGGCATTTATTGCAGTCTTCACATTCTGGGCTTGTTTGTATCTGTCCTTCTTGGGGAGGCTTTCCAGGTATTTGAAGAGACTTAGGTGTTGTGATCTATGTTTTTGGTCACTGCAGCTGTAACTGCATTAGGTACTACTGCAAGCCCAGTAACATTGTGGTTCTTGCAGACTCATAGAGGATCTAAGATCTGGAAGAATTCCCTGGATTACCAGGTAGAGACTCTTGTTCTCTTCCCTTACTTTTTCCCAAACAAAGAAGTCTCTCACTCTGTGTTGAGATGCCTGGGGCTGGGGAAAGGTAACACAAGCACCCCCGTGGCCACCACCACTGGGAGTGTACTGAGTCAGACCTGAAGCCGGCACAGCACTGGTTCTTGCCCAATGCCTGCTATAACTGCTACCTAGCGACCATCTGTGTTCACTCAAGGCCCTAGGGCTCTATGGTCAGCAGGTGGCAATGCAAGCCAGGCTTGTGTCCTTCCCTTGAGATTGTGAATTCCCCCAGGCCCCGGGTGAATCCTGGGATCCAGAGCCTGGAAGCAGAAACCATAGAAATCTATTGTTGCTCTATACTACTGCAGCTGAGCTGGTGCCAAAACCACCAAACAAAGTCCTTCCCACTCTTCTCCAGGCCGAGGAGTCTCTTCTTACGTCCACCACCACCACAGGCTCACAGCGGGTACTGCCGTGTTTATTTAAGGCCCAAGGTCTCTTCAGTCAGCTTGTGGTGAATGCTGCCAGCCCTGGAACTCATCCTTCAGGGAAGTGGGCTCCCCTCTGGCCCAGGGTAGGTCCAGAGATGCAATCTCAAGCCAAGGCCTGCAATCAGGGACCCCAAGAGCCTGCTTGGTGCTCTTCCCCATTGTAGCTGAACTGGTACCTAAGTTCAAGAGAAAGTCCCCTTTACTCTCCCCTGTGCTGTTCTCAAGCAGCAGGGGGCCCTCCTCATAGCCGCCACAGCTGCGAATGTCCTGGGTCACACCTGAAACCTGCATGTCTCAGAGTCTCACTCAAGGCCATGGCTGTACTACCCGGTTACCACTGCTGATTATTCAGGTTTCAAGGGCTCTTTCATCAGCAGATGATAAATCCTGCCAGACTGGGTCCTTCCCTTCAAGGCAGTGAGTTCCCTTCTGGCCCAGGGTGTGTCTAGAAATGTCCTCTGGGAGCTAGGGCCTGGAATGAGGTCCTCAGGACTCTGCCTGGCGTCCTGGCCTACTGTGGCTGAGCTGGCATCCAAGTTGCAAGACAAAGTGCTTTTTGGTCTTCCCTCTCCTCTCCTCTCCTCTCCTCAAGCAGAACAAAGGGGTCTTTTTTGGAGATGTGGGTTGTGCTGCCTGGAGTTGGGGGAGGGGTGATGCAAGCAGTCCCTTAGCTGCGCCATCTGGTGTCTCACTAGGTTGTGTGTCCTCCATGTTCACAGGCTCTCAGCCCAGCACAGCAGCAGGACTTGCCCAGGATTTACAGTCCTTGTAACCTAGACTGCCTTTCAAGTTTATTTCGGATCCCACAGCACTTCAGCCCACAGCGGCAAGGCTTGCTGAATCTCAAGTTCCGACTGCTGGGATGAGTGATTCCCTTCTGGCCAAGGCTTGTTTAAATGCTCCCTCCATGGGTGCCAGCTGAGTTCTGCCCAGTGTTGGCAGCACTGCATGCCAACGCAAAGTCCCACAATCACTGTGTTCTCTCCCCTCCGGGGGCACAGATTGTGTCTCCATGCTACATGGCCAGCTACTTCTGGGGGCACTGGCCAGGAGTGTTGTTGGCAATTCAAGACTGTCTTTCCTGCCCTTTTCCTTGCCTCTTTCAGTGATATGAAGTTAGAACCAGGTACTGTGACTGCTCACCTGATTCCTGATGTTTGGTTCTTGTGGGGATCATTCTTTGTGTAGATAGTTGTAGAATTTGGTGTTCCTGTGGAGAGAATGATGGGTGGAGGCTTCTATTTGGCCATTATGCTCCACCTCCTCAACCAACATCTGACTACAACCCGCTGAGTGACCCCAAGGAAGGTCTGCCCAGCTAAGCCCTTTGTGAATCCCTGACCTACAAAACCACAAGAAAAAAAAAAAAAATCAGCCTTGCTTTTTTTGAAGGTGCTGAATTTGGAGGTAATTTGTTACACAATAGTAACTGGAAGATAAATTTGGTACCCAGAGTGGGTACATCAAAGACTCAAAACAGGCTGGGCATGGTGGCTCACACCTGTAATCCCAACACTTTGGGAGGCCAAGGTTAGTGGATTGCTTGAGCCCGGGAGTTTGAGACACACATAGGCAACACAGTGAGACCCCCATCTCTACAAAAACTAAAAACATTAGCCAGGCATGGTGGTGCATGCTGTGTTGCTAGTTACTCAGGAGGCTGAGATGGGAGGTTTGATCGAGCCCAGGAGGCTGAGGCTACAGGGAGGCATGATCGCACCACTGCACTCTAGCTTGGGCAGCAGAGTGAGATCTTGCCTAAAAAACAAAACCCAACCCAAAACATATGATATTGTCTTTGGGACTGGGCAGCAGGCAAAGGCTGGAAGGGCCTTGAGAAGACTGTTAGTAGAACCTCAGTGGGCCTCGAGGCTGTTAATGAGTGCTTAAAAAGAGAGAAGAAAATGTTATTGAAAGATTGAGGCTGGGCACGGTGGCTCATATCTGTAATCCCAGCACTTTGGGAGGCCGAGGCAGGTGGATCACAAGGTCAGGAGTTTGAGACCAGCCTGACCAACATGGTGAAACCCTGTCTGTACTAAAAATACAAAAATTAGCCAGGCGTGGTGGTGTGTGCCTGTAATCCCAGCGAGCCGAGATTGCAATCTCAGCTCATTGCAACCTCTACTTCCCAGGTTCGAGAGATTCTTCTGCCTTAGCCTCCCAAGTAGCTGCAACTACAGGCACCCACCACCATGGCTGGCTAATTTTTGTATTTTTAGTACAGACGGGGTTTCACCATGTTGGTCAGGCTGGTCTCAAACTCCTGACCTTGTGATCCACCTGCCTCGGCCTCCCAAAGTGCTGGGATTACAGGTGTGAGCCACCACACCCAGCCCGTTTTCAGTTCTTTTGGGTATATACCTAGGAGTGGAATTTCTGGGTCATATAGTAATTCTATGTGTGGTGTTTTGAAGAACCACTAAACTATTTTCCATAGTGACTGCACCATTTTACATTCCCACCAATTGGCTTCTGTATTTTTTTCTTTTACTCTCAGTACACACCAGAGATTTCTGTATTTTTGATACAAAATTTTACGTATACCTACTTGTTAAACATTACAGTTCATATTGTTAATTAATGTAAATCAATATCTATTATAATCTCTACAATTAAATACTATATTACAATATATTTTAAATGCATACTAAAAGTTTTTAGATAAATATGGTATTAAGACCGGGCATGTTACTCACGTCTGTAATCCCAGCACTTGGGAAGCCAAGACAGGCAGATCACTTGAGCTCCCGAGTTGGAGACCAGCCTGGGCAACATGGAGAAACCCCAACTCTACCAAAAAAAAATACAAAAATTAGCCAGGCATGGTGGCATGCACCTGTAGTCCCAGCTACTTGGAAGGGCTGAGTTGGGAGGATTGCTTGAGCCTGGGAGGTGGAGGTTTCAGCATCTAAAAAGCCAAGTGGCTGAATGCAGTGGCTCATGTCTGTAATGCCAGTACTTTGAGAGGCCGAGGCAGAAGGATTGCTTGAGGCCAGGAGTTGGAGACCAGCCTGGACAACATAGCAAGATTCTCTCTACAAAATAATTTTTTAAATAAAAATAAATAATAAATAAAAAGCCAAGAGGTACAATGTTCAGGAGAAGAAGAAAAATACATGCAGAAATATATAAAAATTATAGGAGACCACTATAAGTTTGGCTAGAAATACAGTATTTTGGCTACTGAAAATGACGGAGTCATCTAATGTTGATATTATCAGAACAGAGTTGTCATCAAAGTCAGCTAACTAAAGCATCTGCTTCAAAACATTAAAGAGAAATTTTAGAAGTTTCAGAAACTAGCGAATATGAGATTAAGCAAAAAAGTGAGAAGATGCCGGCAGGGCCCAGTGGCTCATGCCTGTAATCCTAGCACTTTGGGAGGCCAAGGTGGGCAGATCACCTAAGGTCAGGAGTTTGAGACCAACCTGGCCAACAAGGTGAAACCCCGTCTCTACTGAAAATACAAAAATTAGCTGGGTGTGGTGGCGCGCACCTGTAATCCCAGCTACCCGGGAGGCTGAGGCAGGAGAATTGCTTGAACCCGGGAGGTGAAGGTTGCAGTGAGCTGAGATTGCACCACTGCACTCCAGCTTGGGTGACGAGAGTGAGACTCCATCTCAAAAAAAAAAAAAAAAAAAATGGTGAGAAGATGCCATTTGAAACAAATTGCAATAATTATCCACTGTGGCTGCCACTTTGTGATAAAGTAAAAATGATCTGAATAGAGCACATACCTGAATAGATCACAAAGGAAAAGATTTAGATTTTAGGGAATCTACTTCACAGAATGGACATTTCTAAAGTTTTCTTTTCTTTTTTTGTTTCAGAAATGGGGCAGGGGAGGGAGCGTCTCACTAAGTTGCCCAGGCTGGTCTTGAACTCCTGGCCTCAAGGGATCCTCTGCATTGCTGAGATTATAGGCATGAGCCACTGCACCTGACAAAACATTTTTCTTTAATGTTCTAATGGCAAATGAATTCATTGTGACTGCTCATGTATTCCAAAAAAAGTTATCCTTATTTTTTGTGTATACTTTTCTGTAGTAATGCAATAAAATCAAATTTTTGCAACTTAAAAAAAAAAAAAGGTTCTGAAGATTGGAAACAGTTAAACAGAATTTGTGACCATGAAAATTTTGTTTTATTGTGAGGCTTTCTTTTGTGTCTTCTTCTGAGACAGGGTCTTTCTCTGTCACCCAGGCTGAATGCAGTGATGCAATCAATCAGAGCTCACTGCATTTGTGGCTTCAAACTCCTGGGCTCAAGTGATCCTCCTGTTACAGGATCTTTGGGGTTTCACTTTTATGGCTGGAAACCTCTGTGGCCGGTGGCATCTTTGCCTGAGTTCTCGTCCTGCATCCAGGAAGAATGAGAAGCGCAGACAAGCAGAGGGTGAGCACGACAGAGGCACTTTATTGACTGCTAGAACAGCCTGAAGAAGCCCCGCAGTGGGTAGCTTCTCTCTGTAGGCAAGTCGTCCTGTTGAGTGTTCACCTCTCAGCAGAGAGGAAGCCCTGGAGTGGTGGCTCCTCTCTGCAGGGGGATTGTCCCAGTGTCTGCCCAGCTCCTAGCAGAGAAGAGGCCCTGGAGTGGGTTGCTCCTGTCTGCCACCGGTAGTCCCAAGGTCTCTAAACTCTCAGCAGAGAGGGTAGCTCCTCTCTGCAGCTGGTCTTCCTGTCATGTGCTCAGCTCTGGCTGAGCCAGGGCTTTTATTGGCCTTAGAGGGGAGGAAGTGCATGCTGATTGGTCCAAGGGCGGCCATGGGCAGCCTGGAGAAAGCATCACAAGTTCCCACTCCAATGCTCTGGGACTGGCAGCCTGGCCCCCAACTTTCAGGCCCTCCCTGGCCTCAAGGTGGGGCCTCACCAGGGACCTATCCTCTTTTGCCCAGGAATCTGTCTGCCTTCTGCTGCCATTCATGGCACCAGAGCTTAGCCCCGATTTTGCTCTGAGATTGGAGTAGGCACCGGGAACAGGGAGAGGCCAGGCCATGGGAGCAGGCAGTTCTGGGCCTGTGAGGGCAGGGAGGCCTTCCTGGGCCCCCAAGAGTGCAGGGGTGCCTGAGTCTGCAGCCTGCTTTGGGCAGCTGCTGCTGGGCAGGGAAGGGGCCGGTGGGGTTCCTGCCTGCTCTGTAGAGTGGGAGGCCCGGGTCTGCAGGCGCAGTGTGGGCAGCTGCAGTGGCACCAGGGAGCTGCTCCTGCCCCAGCTCAGAAGGGGCAGGGGTCGTGCTGGTCGCTGGCTCCTGGCAGCAGCAGCCGTCTGGAGCAGCCACTGCATCACTCACTCCTCCGCCTCCCAAGCAGCTGGAATTTCAGGAGTGAGCCACTGCACCTGGCTCATGTGATGCTTTTCTAAAATCAAAGTGTCTTTTTAAAATATTCAAATTGACAGTTTAATAAATGGTGCTTTGCAGAATACAATAAAATAAGTGAAACAAAAATAGATTATTTTGAGTGATTTTAGATATTACATGTTAGGCAAAAAATATTTTACATCTTAGAGGATCACAAGAAATTACTGGAGGTCCAAATGGTGGCATGTTTTAAACTTTAGGTGAGTTTTTTTTTTTTTTTTTTTTTTTTTAGG